GAAAAACACCAATTTAGATACGACTGAAAAACCACCTCATCCTAGAGCAAAAATATTTTGTCGAAAAACATTATTTTCGAAATTGACGTGTTTCCATTGAGCAAATTTATTTTAGAAATTCTAATTTGCACATTTTCATGGTGAATGGAAACACATCTAGTGACTGGATCAAATACTGGAGAAGTTAGGGAAAAAAGTCAGTCAATGCTACAAAAACTGCAATAAGATCCCAAACCATCTTTCTGCGAACAAATACAAGTTAACTACTCTTCTTTTAAAACATATTGTAACTGTTTTGTCTATTTAAACTCTAAAAAAAGAAACAAAAAAGGCGATGTAATGAAAAACTGAAATCCCTTCACGAATAGCTGGAAAACAAAAAAGGGAAGAAAATAGTTTTTGTACCTGTAAATGACATTTGTCCTTTGAATTATCCAATAAAAAGAGGAAAAGGTTCTCTGGAGTTTTGCTGATCCAAATGTTAAGTAGTGTGTGTAGAAACTTCGACAAAAACATTGTAAGTTAGAAAAATTGTGCATTTGTGTTTTACTGTCTTTAATGAAGGTTCTGGAGAAAGTTTTAAAAACAAAGTCTTGTAGTTCTCATTTTTTTCTATCATGAAATTAGACAAGAATTAGTTATTTCCTCTTGTTTGTTTTTAAACAGCCAAAGCCGTTATGGTCTTGTTGATCCTGCTGTTGAGCTCTGGAAACTGATCCATTTTTGAACCGAACAGGTCCATTAACGTCACCATCACCTGCTGTCTTTTTCTTTCTGGTCCCTCGGTTCGATGGTTTTGGACTCATGAAAGCATCTAAAGAAGAGCCGGCAGAGGAGGAAGAGGAGGAGTCAGAGGAGGGTGGATAAGGGGTTGGAGGTTTGTGGATCACTGTTGGAGATAACGACGAGCCTCTCGGAGGAGGGACGGGGTGACGGTGTAACTTTGGCCTGCATGGTGGAGATGCTTCCAGGTGTTTATTGGCCACAATGATCCCCTGGAGTTTGTCGACCACTTCAGCCAGGAGGTTGAGGGCTTGGGCGTTTTCATCAACTCTGTCTGTGATCAGTTCTGTTGCTGCCACCATCTTCTGGCCAAGATGTCTGATGTTCTGACTGCTGTGTTCGATTGTGCTGGCCACAGTTTGAACGGTGGTCCTGAGCTCCTCCACGCTGCAGTGATGCTGCTGTGTTCGCTGCTGTGTGTGTTTTGTTTGATGATGGTGTTTGTTGTCCTCAGGACCAGTAGAGTAGCTGGGCTCATGGGACTGGTTTAAAGGTTCTGGGTGTTTTCCATACGGTCCAGCTCGACACCACCTGTCAGGAGTTCTGACCCCCTGATGCCATGTTGGTTGTTGAGTTTCAGGAGCTGCAGGTGCTGTGTGGACTCTAACCAGGGTCCGAATGGATCCAGGAACGCTCCTCGATTCTCCTACATCCTTTTGGTATAAAAAGGGAGAATTGGGAAGACTGGTACTGTAAGCTGGGACTGGAGGAGGCGGGTAAGCATAGTCGTCTTCTTCTTCCCTTTGGGCTTTGGGTCTCTCTGAAACTGAGCACCATGCAAAGAGAGAGAAGGAAATACAATAAAGTTAAAACGATCCACGATTAGTTGTAACATTAGACTTTATTTAATAAACATTTATTTTAACTGTAAAATAAAGACTGTAAAAATACTGTAGGATGTTTAGTTTTGTAAATTTTTAAAAATATATTTTAACACGGACGGAGCCATTTATTTACACGCAAAGCATTCTGGGTAAATGATGACGTGGATAGGTCCTCGGTGCAAGGCTGCTAGCGAGCTATATCCACCCTGA